TTCTCTTCTCTTTTCTTTTCCTTCATTCTTTTTCCTTCATTCATTTAATTCATTCTTTTCTCTTCCCATTTCTTTTCTTCATTCATTAATTCATTCTTCTCTTCCATTTCTTTTCCTTCATTCATCTAATTCATTCTCCTTTCTTTTCCTTCATTCATTTCCTCTAATTCATTCTCCTCTTCCCGTTTCTTTTCTTCATTCATCTAATTCATTCTCCTCTTCCCGTTTCTTTTCTTTCATTCATTTTAATTCATTTCTTCCTCTTCCCATTTCTTTTCCTTCATTCATTTAATTCATTCTTCTCTTCCCGTTTCTTTTCTTCATTCATTTCTTCTAATTTCATTCTCCTCTTCCCCATTTTTTTTCTTTCATTCATTTAATTCATTCTCCTCTTCCGTTTCTTTTTTCTTCATTCCTTTAATTCATTCTCCTCTTCCCGTTTCTTTTCTTCATTCATTTAATTCATTCTCCTCTTCCCGTTTCTTTTCCTTCATTCTTTAATTCATTCTCCTCTTCCCGTTTCTTTTTTTTCTTTTAATTCATTCTTTCTTCCATTTTCTTTTCCTTCATTCCTTCTTCTCTTCCCGTTTTCTTTTCCTTCTTTCATCTAATTCATTCTCCTCTTCCCGTTTCTTTTCTTCATTCCTTTATTCATTCTCCTTTCTTTTCCCATTCATCTTTCTTTTCCCTTCATTTCTTTTTTCTTTAATTCATTCTCCTCTTCCCGTTTCTTTTCCTTCATTCATCTAATTCATTCTTCTCTTCCCGTTTCTTTTCCTTCATTCCTTTAATTCATTCTCCTCTTCCCATTTCTTTTCTTCATTCCTTTTTTCGTTCTTCTCTTTCCTTTCTTTTCCTTCATTCATCTAATTCATTCTCCTCTTCCCGTTTCTTTTCTTCATTCCTTTAATTCATTCTCCTCTTCCCGTTTCTTTTCCTTCATTCATCTAATTCATTCTCCTCTTCCCGTTTCTTTTTCTTCATTCCTTTAATTCATTCTCCTCTTCCCGTTTCTTTTCCTTCATTCATCTAATTCATTCTCCTCTTCCCGTTTCTTTTTCTTCATTCTTTTAATTCATTCTCCTCTTCCCATTTCTTTTCCTTCATTCATCTAATTCATTCTTCTCTTCCCGTTTCTTTTCCTTCATTCATCTAATTCATTCTCCTCTTCCCGTTTCTTTTTCTTCATTCCTTTAATTCATTCTCCTCTTCCCGTTTCTTTTCCTTCATTCATCTAATTCATTCTCCTCTTCCCGTTTCTTTTTCTTCATTCCTTTAATTCATTCTTCTCTTCCCGTTTCTTTTCCTTCATTCATCTAATTCATTCTCCTCTTCCCTCTTTCTTTTTTTCTTCATTCCTTTAATTCATTCTCCTCTTCCCGTTTTCTTTTCCTTCATTCATCTAATTCTTCTCCTCCCGTTTCTTTTCTTCATTCCTTCATTTCTTCCCGTTTCTTTTCCTTCATTCATCTAATTCATTCCTTCTCTTCCTTTCTTTTTTTTCTTCTTCATTCCTTTAATTCATTCTCCTCTTCCCGTTTCTTTTCCTTCATTCATCTAATTCATTCTCTCCTCTTCCCATTTCTTTTTTTCTTCCCGTTCTTTTAATTCATTCTCCTCTTCCCATTCTTTTCCTTCATTCATCTAATTCATTCTCCTCTTCCCATTTTCTTTTTTCAATTCCCGTTCTTTAATTCATTCTCCTTCTTCCCGTTTCTTTTCCTTCATTCATCTAATTCATTTCTCCTCTTCCCTTTCTTTCTTCATTCTTTTAATTCATTCTCCTCTTCCCGTTTCTTTTCCTTCATTCATCTAATTCATTCTCCTCTTCCCGTTTCTTTTCTTCATTCTTTTAATTCATTCTCTCTTCCCATTTCTTTTCCTTCATTCATCTAATTCATTCTCTCTTCCCGTTTCTTTTCTTCATTCCTTTAATTCATTCTCCTCTTCCCGTTTCTTTTCCTTCATTCATCTAATTCATTCTCTCTTCCCATTTCTTTTCCTTCATTCATTTAATTCATTCTCCTCTTCCCGTTTCTTTTCTTCATTCCTTTAATTCATTCTCCTCTTCCCGTTTCTTTTCCTTCATTCATTTAATTCATTCTCCTCTTCCCATTTCTTTTCTTCTTCATTCATCTAATTCATTTTTTTTCCTTTTCTTTTCCTTCATTCATCTAATTCATTCTCCTCTTCCCGTTTTTTTTCATTTCCTTTATTCATTCCTTTAATTTCTTTTCCTTCATTCATCTAATTCTTCTTCTCTTCCGTTTCTTTTCCTTCATTCATTTAATTCATTCTCCTCTTCCCGTTTTTTTTTTTCTTCATTCTTTTAATTCATTCTCCTCTTCCCGTTTCTTTTCCTTCATTCATCTAATTCATTCTCTCTCTTTCCCGTTTCTTTTTCTCTTCATTCTTTTAATTCATTTCTCCTCTTCCCTTTCTTTTCCTTCATTCATCTAATTCATTCTCTCTTCCCATTTCTTTTCTTCATTCCTTTAAATTCATTCTCTCTTTCCTGTTTCTTTTCCTTCATTCATCTAATTCATTCTTCTCTTTCCGTTTCTTTTTTCATTCATTCATTCTCCTTTCCGTTTCTTTTCTTCTTCTTCCCTTTCTTTTCTTTCATTCTTTCTTTTCATTCTTCTCTTCCCGTTTCTTTTTCTTCATTCATCTAATTCATTCTTCTCTTCCCGTTTCTTTTCCTTCATTCATCTAATTCATTCTCTCTTCCCGTTTCTTTTCTTCATTCCTTTAATTCATTCTTCCTCTTCCCGTTTCTTTTCCTTCATTCATCTAATTCATTCTCCTCTTCCCGTTTCTTTTTTCATTCCTTTAATTCATTCTCCTCTTCCGTTTAATTTCATTCTTCTCTTTCATTTTTTCTTTTTTTTTTCTTCATTCTTTTAATTCATTCTCCTCTTCCCGTTTCTTTTCCTTCATTCATCTAATTCATTCTTCTCTTCCCGTTTCTTTCCTTCATTCATTTAATTCATTCTTCCTCTTCCCGTTCTTTTTTCTTCATTCATCTTTAATTCTTCTCCTCCCCGTTTCTTTTCCTTCATTCATCTAATTCATTCTCCTCTTCCCGTTTCTTTTTCTTCCCTTTTTTTTCTTTCTTCCCCGTTCTTTTCCCTTCATTCATCTAATTCTTCTCTTTCCCGTTTCTTTTTCTTCATTCCTTTTAATTCATTCTTCTCTTCCCGTTTCTTTTCCTTCATTCATCTAATTCATTCTTCTCTTCATTTCTTTTCTTCATTCCTTTCCTTCATTCATCTATTCTTCTCTTCCCGTTTCTTTTCCTTCATTCATTAATTCATTCTCCTCTTCCCGTTTCTTTTTCTTCATTCCTTTAATTCATTCTCCTCTTCCGTTCTTTTTCTTCATTCCTTTTCCCCATTCTTTCTTCTTCCCGTTTCTTTTCTTCCACCTTTCATTCATTTTTCTTCTTCTCTTTTCATTCTTTCCTTCATTTTTTTTCATTCCTCTTCTTTTTCTTCATTCATTTCTTCTCCCTTTCCCGTTTCTTTTCTTCATTCCTCTAATTCATTCTCCTCTTTTTCGTTTTCTTTTCCTTCATTCATTTTCATTCTCCTCTTCCCGTTTCTTTTCTTCATTCCTTTAATTCATTCTTCCTCTTCCCGTTTCTTCATTCATCTCATTCTTCTTCTTCCTTTTTCTTTTCTTCATTTCTTTAATTTTCTTTCTTCCTTTTCTTTTCCTTCATTCATCTAATTCATTCTCCTCTTCCCTTCCTTCTTTTTCTTCATTCTCCTCTTTTATTCTTTCTTCATTTTTCTTTCTTTTTTTCTTTTTCTTTTCTTCATTCATTAATTCATTCATTCCCGTTTCTTTTTCTTCATTCATTTATTCATTTCCTCTTCCCGTTTTTTTTCTTCATTCATTTAATTCATTTCTCTTCCCGTTTCTTCTCAAGATAGCCTTTTTTTTTTTTTTCATTCATTCTAATTTCATTTTCTCCTCTTCCCGTTTCTTTTTCTTCATTCTTTCTTTCTTCTTTTTCTTTTCCTTCTTCATCTAATTCCTCCTCTTCCCATTTCTTTTCTTCATTCCTTTAATTCATTCTCCTCTTCCCGTTTCTTTTCCTTCATTCATCTAATTCATTCTTCTCTTCCCATTTCTTTTCTTCATTCCTTTAATTCATTCTCTCTTCCCATTTCTTTCCTTCATTCATCTAATTCATTCTCCTCTTCCCGTTTCTTTTCTTCATTCCTTTAATTCATTCTCTCTTCCCGTTTCTTTTCCTTCATTCATCTAATTCATTCTCCTCTTCCCTTTTCTTTTTCTTCATTCCTTTTAATTCCTTTCCCGTTTCTTTTCCTTCATTCATTCTTCCTTCATTCTCCTCTTTCCTTTCTTTCTTCATTTTTATTCATTCTTTAATCCTTGCATTCATTCTTTCTTCTTTTCTTCCATTTCTTTTCTTCATTCCTTTAATTCATTCTCTCTTCCGTTTCTTTTCCTTCATTCATCTAATTCATTCTCCTCTTCCCGTTTCTTTTCTTCATTCTTTAATTCATTCTCCTCTTCCCATTTCTTTTCCTTCATTCATCTAATTCATTCTCCTCTTCCCCTTTCTTTTCTTCATTCTTTAATTCATTCTCTCTTCCCATTTCTTTTCCTTCATTCATCTAATTCTTTTCTCTTCCCGTTTCTTTTCATTCTTCATTCATCTATTCATTCTCCTCTTCCCGTTTCTTTTCTTCATTCCTTATTCATTCTTTTCTTCCTCTTTCATTTAATTCATTCTTCTCTTCCTCCCTTTCCCTTTTTTCTCCTTCATTCATCTAATTCATTCTCCTCTTCCCTTTCTTTTTTTCTTCATTCCTTTAATTCATTCTTCTCTTCCCGTTTCTTTTCCTTCATTCATCTATTCATTCTTCTCTTCCCGTTTCTTTTCTTCATTCATTTAATTCATTCTCCTCTGCCCGTTTCTTTTCTTCAATCCTTTGGACATTCTTCTCTTCTTTCTTTTCTTCCAGATAATTCATTTTTCTCTTCATTCTTTTCAACCATTCATCTAATTCATTCTCTCTTCCCGTTTTCTTTTCTTCATTCTTTTAATTCATTCTCTTCTCTTTTTCCCGTTTCTTTCCCGTTTCTTTTCTTTCATTTATTCATTCTCCTCTTCCCGTTTCTTTTCCTTCATTCATCTAATTCATTCTCTCTTCCCGTTTCTTTTTCCTTCATTTGCCATTCTCACATCTTCCCATTCATTCTCCTTTAATTCTTCCCTTTTCTTTTCCTTCATTCATCTAATTCATTCTCCTCTTTCATCTAATTTCTTCTTTCCTATAATTCATTCTTTTAATTCATTCTTCTCTCTCTCCGTTTCTTTTCTTCATTCATTTAATTCATTCTCCTCTTCCGTTTCTTTTCCTTCATTCATCTATTCATTCTCCTCTTCCCATTCTTTTCCTTCATTCATCTAATTCATTCTCCTCTTCCCAGGTTTCTTTTCCTTCATTCATCTAATTCATTCTCCTCTCCCTTCCTGTTTCTTTTTTCTTCATTCATTCTAATTCCCGTTTCATTCTCCTCTTCCCGTTTCTTTTTCTTCATTCATTTTAATTCATTCTCCTCTTCCGTTTCTTTTTCCTTCATTCATCTAATTCTCTTCCCGTTTCTTTTCTTTTCTTTTTAATTCATTTCTCCTCTTTTTCTTTTCTTCCTTCTTTCTTTAATTCATTCTCCTCTTCCCAGCTCTTTTCCTTCATTCATCTAATTCATTCTCCTCTTCCCCGTTTCTTTTCTTTCATTCATTTAATTCATTCTCCTCTTCCCGTTTTTTTCCTTCATTCATCTAATTCATTCTCCTCTTCCCGTTTCTTTTCTTCTTTTCCTTTCCTCTTCATTCTTTTCCTCTTCCCATTTCTTTTTTCTTTTTTTCATTCATTTAATTCATTCTTCTCTTCCCGTTTCTTTTCTTCATTCATCTTTCATTCTCCTCTTCCCGTTTCTTTTCTTCATTCCTTTAATTCATTCTCCTCTTCCCATTTCTTTTTCCTTCATTCATCTAATTCATTCTTCTCTTCCCGTTTCTTTTCTTCATTCTTTAATTCATTCTCCTCTTCCCGTTCTTTTCCTTCATTCATCTAATTCATTCTCCTCTTCCCTTTTCTTTTTCTTCATTCCTTTAATTCATTCTCCTCTTCTTCCCGTTTTTTCCTTCATTCATCTAATTCATTCTCCTCTTCCCGTTTCTTTTCTTCATTCTTTTAATTCATTCTCTCTTCCCCGTTTCTTTTCCTTCATTCATCTAATTCATTCTCCCCATTTTTTCCCCATTTCTTTTCTTCCCATTTCTTTTTTATTTCTTTTTCTTCATTTCTAATTCATTCTTCTCTTCCCATTTTTTTCCTTCATTCATTTAATTCATTCTCCTCTTCCCTATTTCTTTTCTTCATTCATTCATTCTTCTTCTCTTCCCGTTTCTTTTCTTTCATTCATCTAATTCATTCTCCTCTTCCCGTTTCTTTTCTTCATTCATTCCTTTAATTCTCTTCTTCCCCTTTTCTTTTCATTCATTCATTCTCCTCTTCCCGTTTCTTTTTCTTCATTCCTTTAATTCATTCTTCTCTTCCCGTTTCTTTTCCTTCATTCATCTAATTCATTCTCCTCTGCCCGTTTCTTTTTCTTCATTCCTTTAATTCATTCTCCTCTTCCCGTTTCTTTTCCTTCATTCATCTAATTCATTCTCCTCTTCCCGTTTCTTTTTCTTCATTCTTTTAATTCATTCTCCTCTTCCCGTTTCTTTTCCTTCATTCATCTAATTCATTCTTCTCTTCCCATTTCTTTTTCTTCATTCCTTTAATTCATTCTTCTCTTCCCGTTTCTTTTCCTTCATTCATCTAATTCATTCTTCTCTTCCTTTTCTTTTCTTCATTCATTTAATTCATTCTCCTCTTCTTGTTTCTTTTCTTCATTCAATTGGCTTCATTTCTTTCTTCCGTTTTTTTCTTCATTCCTTTAATTTTCTTCTTTTCCCCATTTTCTTTTCCTTCATTCATCTTTCTTCCTTTCCCTTTTTTTTCTTCATTCCTTTAATTCATTCTCTCTTCCCATTTTTTTTCCTTCATTCATTAATTCTTTCTCCTCTTTCCTGTTTCTTTTTTCTTCATTCCCATTTTTTTCATTCTTCTCTTCCCGTTTCTTTTCTTCATTCCTTTAATTCATTTCTCTCTCTTTTCCTTCATTTCTTTTCTCCTTCATTCATTTCTTTCAATTCATTTTCCCTCTTCCCAGTTTCTTTTTCTTCATTCCTTTAATTCATTCTTCTCTTCCCCGTTTCTTTTCCTTCATTCATTAATTCATTCTCCTCTTCCCGTTTCTTTCTTTTCCTTTCATTCATTTAATTCATTCTCCTCTTCCCGTTTTCTTTTCTTCCTTCATTCATTCTTCTCTTTCATTCTTTTTCTTCATTTCATCTTTCTCTCTTCTCTTCCGTTTCTTTTCCTTCATTCATTTAATTCATTCTCTTTCCGTTTCTTTTTCATTCCTTTATTTCATTCTCCTCTTCCCGTTTCTTTTCCTTCATTCATTCTTTTTCTCTTCCCATTTTTTTCTTCATTCCTTCTAATTCTTCTCCTCTTCCCATTTCTTTTCCTTCATTCATTTAATTTCCGTCTTCTCTTCCCGTTTCTTTTTCTTCATTTCTTTCATTCATCTAATTCTTCATTCTTCCTCTTCCTCCTCTTTTTCTTTTCTTCATTCATCTAATTATTCTCCTCTTCCCATTTCTTTTCTTCATTCCGTTCATTCTCCTCTTTCCAATTCTTTTTCTTCATTCATCTAATTCATTCTCCTCTTCCCATTTCTTTTCTTCATTCCTTTTTTCATTCTTCTCTTCCCGTTTCTTTTCTTCATTCATCTAATTCATTTCCTCTTCTTTTTTCTTTTTCTTCATTTTCTTTAATTCATTCTTTTCTTCCTTCTTTTCTTCATTCCTTTCATTCTCCTCTTCCCATTTCTTTTCCTTCATTCATTTAATTCATTCTTCTCTTCCCGTTTCTTTTTCTTTCATTCCTTTAATTCATTCTTCTCTTCCCGTTTCTTTTCCTTCATTTCCTTCTAATTTCATTCTTCTCCTCTTCCCGTTTCTTTTCTTCTTTTCTTCTCTTCCCGTTTCCTTTTAGTTCATCTAATTCTTCTCTTCCCGTTTCTTTTCTTCATTCCTTCATTCATTCTCCTCTTCCCATTTCTTTTTTCTTCCTTTAATTCTTCTTCTCTTCCGTTTCTTTTCCTTCATTCATCTAATTCATTCTCCTCTTCCCGTTTCTTTTTCTTCATTCCTTTAATTCATTCTCTCTTCCCGTTTTTTCTTCATTCATCTAATTCATTCTTCTCTTCCCATTCTTTTCTTCATTCCTTTAATTCATTTCTTCTCTTCCCGTTTTTTTTCCTTCATTCATCTAATTCATTCTTCTCTTCCCGTTTCTTTTTCTTCATTCCTTTAATTCATTCTTCTTCCTCTTTTCCTTCATTTCTTTTCTTCATTCCTTTCTTTTTCATTCTTTTAATTCATTCTCCTCTTCCCGTTTCTTTTTCCTTCATTCATCTAATTCATTCTCTCTTCCGTTTCTTTCCTTCATTCCCATTCTCCTCTTCCCGTTTCTTTTTCTTCATTCCTTTAATTCATTCTTCTCTTCCCGTTTCTTTTCCTTCATTCATCTAATTCATTCTCCTCTTCCCGTTTCTTTTTTCATTCATTCATTTCTTCTTCCCTTTTCTTTTCCTTCAATTCATTCTTCTCTTTCCCGTTTTCTTTTTTTCATTCATTCATTCTCCTCTTCCCGTTTCTTTTCCTTCATTCATCTAATTCATTCTCCTCTTCCCGTTTCTTTTTCTTCATTCCTTTAATTCATTCTCCTCTTCCCGTTTCTTTTCCTTCATTCATCTAATTCATTCTCCTCTTCCCGTTTCTTTTTCTTCATTCCTTTAATTCATTCTCCTCTTCCCGTTTCTTTTCCTTCATTCATCTAATTCATTCTTCTCTTCCCATTTCTTTTTCTTCATTCCTTTAATTCATTCTCCTCTTCCCGTTTCTTTTCCTTCATTCATCTAATTCATTCTTCTCTTCCGTTTCTTTTCTTCATTCCTTTAATTCATTTCTTCTCTTCCCCGTTTCTTTTCCTTCATTCATCTAATTCATTCTCCTCTTCCCGTTTCTTTTCTTCATTCCTTTAATTCATTCTTCTCTTCCGTTTCTTTTCCTTCATTCATCTAATTCATTCTCCTCTTCCCGTTTCTTTTCTTCATTCCTTTAATTCATTCTCCTCTTCCCGTTTTCTTTTCCTTCATTCATCTAATTCTTCTCTTTTTTTTTTTTTCTTGCTTTAATTCGTTTCTTTTTTTTTTCTTCATTCCTTTAATTCATTCTCCTCTTCCCGTTTCTTTTCCTTCATTCATCTAATTCATTCTCCTCTTCCCGTTTCTTTTTCTTCATTCTTTTAATTCATTCTCCTCTTCCCGTTTCTTTTCCTTCATTCATCTAATTCATTCTCCTCTGCCCGTTTCTTTTTCTTCATTCTTTTAATTCATTCTTCTCTTCCCGTTTCTTTTCCTTCATTCATCTAATTCATTCTTCTCCTCTTCTCCCATTTCTTCATTCTTCTTCTTCTCTTTTTCTTTTCCTTCATTCATCTAATTCATTCTCCTCTTCCGTTTCTTTTCTTCATTCCTTTTCTTCTTCCCGTTTCCTTCATTCATCTAATTCATTCTCCTCTTCCCATTTCTTTTCCTTCATTCATTTAATTCATTCTCCTTTTCTCCGTTTCTTTTCCTTCATTCATCTAATTCATTCTCTCTTCCCGTTTCTTTTCTTCATTCATTTAATTCATTCTCCTCTTCCCGTTTCTTTTTCTTCATTCCCGTTTAATTCATTCCTTTAATTCTTCTCTTCCCCTTTCTTTTCCTTCATTCATCTAATTCATTCTCCTCTTCCCGTTTCTTTTCTTCATTCCTTTAATTCATTCTCCTCTTCCCGTTTCTTTTCCTTCATTCATCTAATTCATTCTCCTCTTCCCATTTCTTCATTCTTTCCCGTTTCTTTTCTTCTTCATTCATTTAATTCATTTTCTCTTTCCCGTTTCTTTTCCTTCATTCATCTAATTCATTCTCCTCTTCCCATTTCTTTCCTTCATTCATCTAATTTTTCTTCTTTCCTTTTCTTTTCATTCCTTCATTCTTCTCTTCCCGTTTCTTTTCCTTCATTCATCTAATTCATTTCTCTTCCCGTTTCTTTTTCTTCATTCATTCTTCTCTTCCCGTTTCTTTTCTTCATTCATCTAATTCATTCTCCTTTCCCGTTTCTTTTTCCTTCATTCATCTAATTCATTCTCCTCTTCCCTTTAATTTCTTTTTCTTCATTCATCTTTCTTTTTCTCTTCCCGTTTTTCTTTTCCTTCATTCTCTAATCTTCCTCTTTCTTTTCCTTCATTCATCTAATTCATTCTCCTCTTCCCGTTTCTTTTCCTTCATTCATCTAATTCATTCTTCTCTTCCCGTTTCTTTTCCTTCATTCATCTAATTCATTCTCCTCTTCCCGTTTCTTTTTCTTCATTCTTTTAATTCATTCTCCTCTTCCCGTTTCTTTCCTTCATTCATCTAATTCATTCTCCTCTTCCCATTTCTTTTCTTCATTCTTCTCTTCTTTTCCTTCATTCATCTAATTCATTCTCCTCTTCCGTTTCTTTTTCTTCATTCCTTTAATTCATTCTCCTCTTCCCGTTTCTTTTTCTTCATTCATCTAATTCATTCTCTTCTCTTCCCTTCATTTCTTTTTTCTTCATTCCTTTAATTCATTCTCCTCTTCCCGTTTCTTTTCCTTCATTCATCTAATTCATTCTTCTCTTCCCATTTCTTTTTCTTCATTCCTTTAATTCATTCTCCTCTTCCCGTTTCTTTTCCTTCATTCATCTAATTCATTCTCCTCTTCCCGTTTCTTTTCTTCATTCCTTTTAATTCATTCTTCTCTTCCCTTTTCTTTTCCTTCATTCATCTAATTCATTCTTCTCTTCCCATTTCTTTTTCATTCCTCTTTAATTCATTCTTCTCTTCCCGTTTCTTTTCCTTCATTCATCTAATTCATTCTCCTCTTC